AAGTTACAAGTACATAGATCTTCCTTTTGCTAGGGCACCAAGGTGAGACAAATCAGGAACCCCTGGGGTTCTCAATTGATTCAACCTATTTGGCTGGAGTGATGTCTGAAGCTTCATACTACTTATCTACTTTGAGGATAGGTATTAGCCAGAAGAAGGCTGTGAACTTTGCACTCCAATCGCTGGTTCCTACCGGCAGAAGAGTGACACGGGCACGATACGCAGGGGCCCATGCCATCGTTGGGTCGGTAAATTCCAAGTGCTCATCATGATTCAACATGATGAAACTACCCACCTTATTTGGTGGTTACATCCCAAAATTCAACAATTATATTCACCAACATGTTTGCTGTTGGCCGTCATTGTTGCTGCTCCAATCCCACTGTTTCTGCATTATGATAACCTATACTAACCTGAAAGTTCGGCCATTTGGGGACGATTCACCTCATCCTCACCATCATTCCAGTGACGTTGCCGTGAGGTTGCTATATTGTTTTCAGAGATTGATAGTCATTGTCATTGCCCCATCCTTTCCATTCATAATCAGTTCTTTGTTTATGTATAATAATTATATAGCCCTATTCTATCACCATACGGTGATGATAAATCCAATTAATCGCTTGTGATTTCCATAGGGTTTCAATCCTTGGAGCTTCTGCCACTCTCTCCATGCCTCTGCCGCACTGGCGCCCTTCTCCGGCTGGAGGGACTCAAATCCCGGCATGGCCTCCGAAGAATTTCCACTGGTGTCGACAGAGGTGGAGTTCACCGAAAGTCCAAAACAAACATTATGCCAGCGCCTCAAAGGTGCCGTGCGTTTATGGCCATTTTGGATTGATGGCGACGTTGACAATGATAAAAAAAACACTGAGGGTTTTGAGCAATTTCACATTGAATCGATGTTAGAAAAGGTCTCAAAACCACTGGAAGGGTTTCCCTGCAGATCCCATTTTCGACAACTGTTCCAAGACTTCGCACACTTTTTTCGAGTAACGGGGCCGCTTCAATTTTTTTTCGCATATCTATGGCACAGGTCAGCAAGACCTTTCCAAAGTGTTTGTCGGCACCTTCGGCGCCACAACCATGCATAGACATATGTAAGCATGTAAGTAACCATCACATGATCGAACGTAGCATCAACTAATTGATATCTTAACGTAGCTGGACAGTGATATAAGAAGTACACGAGAAACCATCATAGAGTAGCATGAATTCTAGAGAAATTATTGTGACGTGGCATCAACTAATTGATATCTTAACGAAACTGGAAGTTAGATAAAGAACTACAAGAGAAACCACCATAGCGTAGCATGAAGTCTAGCGAAGTTCCGGTGACGTAGCATCAACTAATTATTAATTGAAATACAAGTGTATGACGTAGGCAGAGGAAAAGTGTATTAAGCACGCAAGAGCGAGGACGTTATTGCCCCAACCCACCCCCCCTAACCGACCCCACCAAAACATAATAGACAAGATAAAAAGGCCACGAACGCACGGCCCCTTATAGGAGCCGGCACCAAAAACAAGGGGAATTTATAGCAACCCTCAAATAGATAGAAAATCAGGAAAATTGGAAATATGAGGGAAGTATCATCCATACCATTCTAGAAACACTTTTGGGCATCTTTTTAGCGTTACAAGTATGACAGATAGTGGGAACATCATTTGAATATACCCTCCCCGAAATCACCTTGGACACTCAAACAAAACAACTTTTAGTGGGAGCAAATCGTCCACCCCGTACTTGGCAGGGTCGATGTTAATTCTGAGGATGGTATTTGTACATGCGGTATTTAACACTTCGGGGAATTTCACCACAAAACATGTGGATGGATCAAACTACATATGATTGATATTACATGACTGCGGAGGATGAACATTCAGCTACACCAGAGCTATTTTGGGGTGGAAACCAGGGTATCAGGGTGAACTGACCCATTACCAAATGGGAAAAACATCGGAACATAATTAGAAACTTGTGAAAACTTGGGAAATTCAGGTTATATTGTATACCTAAATCCTAAGATACATGAATTTCACTGACCATCAATGCTGGATTTACCAGGCAGACGGGTCACTGATGAACCCTGAACCCACCCAAAAAGGTGTTTGTTTTGAGGATGTGATAGTGTCAATTAAGATCATATTCCCTGCTATGGCTAAGGTCACCCAATAGAAAGTGGTAAACCCAATCCAAAACCCATACTTTAAAGCCCAAACTACTGTATTTGAGGGCAAGATTGGACTTTATCAATGGATTGTCAGGACACACATCGCGTGACCATTCTTGGAGTTGTTCTACGCGACTATTCAGGATTTGAATGAATGGATATATTGAAAACATGAAACATATTAATTGATATTCATTAATATATTGGAGTTGTTCTAGGTGACTGTATAACATTGCATAATTTGTTTCAATTGTTTAAATAACTGGAGATTAATATATTGAAAATGTGACTTTGAGTGGCTTGGTATAGATTCCCCAAATTTGGGATGTTCCATCAGAACGCAAATGTCTCAGGTGCCATTCATAGGAAAATTGGCAATCTGCTACTGACCCTTTTGGGCCTTTTTCCTTTGTTGAGACACACTTTCAGTCCCCAGCCACCTGCTCCCTCTTCTGGTCCTGCTGTTTAGATCATTGCTATGCCATGCTTGAACCAAGGAGGCGGCATGGAAACGTGGAGTCGTTGTCTTCCAGCCAGGATCAACATGGGACATTGGGTCAGTTTTTTTTTACATAAGTGGGTTGTCTCTTGATGCCTTCCTACCACTTGGGTTGGGGGTGGTTCCGCTATGCTATGGTCCTGGGGTTCCAAATTTGATATGGCACGCAATCGTACTATAGATACAAGACCTGGTTCCCAAGACAGCTTGAACTGAAATGACTAAATGATCCATTGTCAAAACCTACTCCGCAACAGATGTTTTTCAGCAAGCCAGCGTTTGAGTCCGCCATGCCATGTTTCAGTCATGCTGCTCCATATATCTTGGAATCTGTTGGTAATTGGGACCACGGGCTTGAAGCAAGTCGCACTTAAGACATGACACACTTCTGTTCATCACAAGAGATCATCTGAACGTAAAAAAAAACAGGTTAGCATGCCTTCCGTATGCACAAAAAAGTAACCCTCCATCAAATCATGCATTTCCTTGCCGTCTATATTCCTTGCGCCATGCGGCCGTGGAAAAGTAAAGTGCATATATTTCCTTCAGAAAAATCATGTTTACAAGGTTGATAACAGTACAAACTGACCACCATTGTACGTGACGTACAACCATGGGGAAATCGTTTGTGCCCCCGTATTGCAAGGATATTGTTCATGCAAAGCCCATGGCCCCATGTGTTTTGCTGACTCACTAAGGAAGAACTCCCACATCTGCAAATGTGAGGGTAGACTTTATAGACCTCATTTGGCAAAGGACCTCCAGAAACAGTGGTTTTTCTGGGCATCACTTGGGGATCCTGTGAGAAATGCTCATGTTTTGTTCCATATCAACAAATTTAACCATGCTCAAGTAGGAGTGTCAGTGACCTTGAGATATGCCGCACTTGCTTCAGACACCGAATCATCCCAGTATGTAGTTGTTGCCAACATCCTCACTGGTGTATTTGAACCATCAATATCTGATTTGTCGAAGAAAACTCTACCAAGGTACTACCAAGGTAATTACTACCAAGGTGCTGATGATGGAAATCAGCAAACCACACATGCGAAATGTAAACTCAACAAGCTGAAATCTTGGAAACAAAACTGGAGCATGAATGTGCTGTGTATCACCATGGCCTTTCACATAAAGAACAAAACATAAAATCCAAATAGATTCGACAAAGTGCCGTGATCGATGCTTCTCAGGGGACTAGTGTTTTTCACACCAACCTGATTTCAAACTGGAAAATAGGCATGTATGTGGGTACGGATAATAGAAGACACACATATATATATGTGTGTGTGTGTGTGCATACCACAATGAATTTCAATGGTACATATCAGTCACAGAGTCACAGATATCCCATATATATATATATTATGAAAATATGAGCGGGGAACAAAACTAAGGGTCACAAAGGCGGTCATGAGCAAAAGTTACAAAAGTTATCGATATAGATTGTTCGCTATATCGGTTTACTTTGTTTTGGCGCATGTCAAACAATGGCTGTTGACTTGAAGATCTATTGCCACTCATCTCCACAGAATCAACAATAGGGGCACTCCATGGTCAGCAGTCTGCTGTCCACTGTTTGTCTTCGAAGCGAGGAAGGAATTTCCCTCAGAACAGCTTGGTTTTTGCACTGTTGCGCGCCTTCTGCTTCTGCAGATTCTGCTCATCTCTTTGGATCTTTAGGTCAAAGTTATATTCAATGGGAGGTTTCATGAGGTTTCAAGGCCAGGCTGAACCACCCCAAGTAGGTAGATGTTTCAAGACATCGACGCGAAATTGAAATGCGCCACTCCAGGGATGGATTGGGTCTCTGGCTGCCCGGGGCCCCTTTCGGCAATTTTTGGTTATCGCTAAGTTATCGATTTGGCTATCGACAAATTCCTTTGGTAAAATCAGGAAACGTGTGAAATATTGTTTCTAAAGGACAGTCTCTGCTTTCCAGAGCTTGTGTTGGCAGCAAGTTTTGTGGTCAGAAGTGCGTACTCTAGGCCTTTTGGGAGCACCTCTAGGCCTTTTGGGAGCCCCTGGATTCACATCCGACGGATACAATAACAATGCATATGAGGTTACTATGCAATCCCCAATTGGCTGCGAAAAACAACAACACCTTTCAACTTCACCATCAAATCACGTTATCGCTTTGAGTAGTTCACCGTATCGCTTTCCATGGTTTGGGCAACATTTTCGACCATATGACCTCTCATGTAAAGGTTTCTGCATGACCTCTCCTGTATGTATGTACATTATACCTATAGGTATTTTCCTCACGTATTGACTGGGAATGTGCAAAAACTGAAAGATTTTCAAGCGCTGCTCCAAGGCCCCGGCACTTCTCAAGCTCGGACACCTCTCATTAGGCACAAGTCTGAGACAATTTACACGAGAAACAGCCAGGTTCCAACGATGCACTTTCCATGATTCAGAAAACAACTAGTTATTTGCAAACGTAAATATCATATACATCTATAGAACAGCAAACACAAAGTAACTTGAAGAAATCAGGTTTGTAATGTTTGTAAAGCCAAGCAATGTCATGTACCAGCCATATGGATCCATATACTGGTTGAAATCCCAGCCATAAATCTGGTTGGGCCGCCTCCTCGCGCTACCAGGGAGGCATATTTCTCAATGGCAGGGCTCAGCATGGTGGTGCTTTGGTGGCACGCCTTAGTGTCCCGGAGGGAACTTTTTCGAGGGTAAAATATGTGGGGAATATATATATATATACTGGTTGGTGGTTTTAACCATCGTGAAAAATATTAGTCAATGGAAAGGATTATCCCATACGTGGAAAATAAAAAAATGTTCCAAACCACCAACCAGTATATATATAATAATTATGATACTATATATATATATATGTATATATATATGGTATCTATCATCTCTCTATCGATCGATCTATCTGTCTATGTATCTATCTACCTACCTATCTAATCTAATCTAATCCAATCTAATCCAATCCAATCAAATCTAATCTATCCATTTACTGTGGTGTTTTTATCATAGGTGAATAGTTGCTATAGGGTTATACATAATATATATATATACTATTCTATCGGGTCACCCCACATATTTACATATATATATTTTATGTAATTATAGTATATATAATATGTTATCCGGGTCACCCCCATATGTTTACATATGTATATATATATATATACTATCTTATCGGGTCACCCACACATACACATATATATATATATATACTTTAAACCCCACAACGCTTCCACTCAGCTATCACAGCAGCAACAGCAGCTGAATTGGGATTTGAGTGGATTTTTTCAAAAATTGGGATGATCGGGGTTCCTTAGAACGCTCGCTACCGGTAGTGAATTGGGGTTTGAATTGATTTTTTCTAAAATTGGGATGATCGGGGGCCCTTAGAACGCTCGCTACCGGTAGTGAGTGTTCTAAGAGGGAGCGACGGTCGCTCCCTGTTAGAACGCTCCCTAAGATAGATAGTGTTCTAACAGGGTGCGACGGTCGCTCCCTGTTAGAACGCTCGCTACCGGTAGTGAGTGTTCTAAGGGGGAGCGACGGTCGCTCCCTGTTAGAACGCTCCCTAAGATAGATAGTGTTCTAACAGGGTGCGACGGTCGCTCCCTGTTAGAACGCTCGCTACCGGTAGTGAGTGTTCTAAGGGGGGGTTGGCAAACATCGGACCAGGGATGATCTTGTGTTTTCGCTGGGGTCTTAGTGAGAAGAACGCAAGATTGAGGGTGCTCCAGCGACAGGAAACCTCCCTTAGAACGCTCGCTACCGGTAGTGAGTGTTCTAAGAGGGAGCGACGGTCGCTCCCTGTTAGAACGCTATCTATCTTAAAAGCAGCAATTATACATATGGATGATTGGGGGGCCCTTAGAACGCTCGCTACCGGTAGTGAATGGGGAATTCTTTCAAAAATTGGGACGATTGGGGTTCCTTAGAACGCTCGCTACCGGTAGTGAATGGGGAATTCTGTCAAGAATTGGGATGATGGGGAGCAATTAGAACGCTCGCTACCGGTAGTGAATGGGTAATTCTGTCAAAATGGGTAATTTTTGAAAAAAGCCGGCTGTTGCTGCTGTGATAGCTGAGTGGAAGCGTTGTGGGGTTTAAAGTATATATATATGTGTATGTGTGGGTGACCCGATAAGATAGTATATATATATACATATGTAAACATATGGGGGTGACCCGGATAACATATTATATATACTATAATTACATAAAATATATATGTAAATATGTGGGGGTGGCCCGATAGCATAGTATATATATATACTATGTATAACCCTATAACAACTATTCACCTATGATAAAAACACCACAGTTTATGTATATATCTATAATAATAACTTGGGGGTAATCGGATATCATGTGATTTCTGATGTGCAAAAGAAGCAATTTCTGCCAAGCCAGGCCAAGGGGCTAAGCTTGGTGTTGAAGCAATTCTCCTGCAACCGGCACAGCAATGTGTGGTGCAGCGGTGCATGTCTCCATATCCCTTAAAGAGTCCCAAAAAACATGGACTTTTGGATGATCTTTATTGATACTGGGTAAATTAGAATAGTTCACCTGGTTGGTGGTTGAGCCTACCCCTCTGAAAAATATGAAAGTCAGCTGGGATGATGATTCCCAATATATGGAAAAATAAAAATCATATTCCAAACCACCAACCAGGAATAGTTCACTAACCTGATTTTTTCGGTCATTTGGGGATCATTTCCCTCACTAACCATGATTCCAGTGTTCGCGAGAACAGTGAGATTGTAATTTGCCCAGACACAGACGTATCACATCTAGTGTCTGTCACCTCCCTAAATTTGAGATTGAAGCTTGAAAGTGTTATTGGTTTGTCGCCAAATAGGGAACCCGAAACCTACTGGTGAATCATAATTTCCCGTGCTGAAATGGCCAATTTGGAGAGGTAAACACTCAAGCTGAAACAAACTCAGCATGCGGGTGTTTCTTAAAATGATCCCAAGTCACCATCTGTTTGTTTAACATAGCCATGGAAAATAACCATGCTATTAATAGGTAAACCATCTATAAATGGGCCATCTATACCATGGCTATGTTAGTCATAACCAGAGGGTACTAAAATGGTCTCAATGACGAAACCTCCATCTTCCTCATCTGGCCACTACCGTGCCTGGCCACCTCTGCAGCTGCCCTCTTGGTGTCATCTTCGCCTGCACGTAGACATGTTGACGAAATATTCCAAGTTATACTGTCCTTGGGATGTGTCAAAGAAAAGATACTGCTAAATCCATTGATCTATTACCTATTTTCTTATTAAGTCAAAAACATGGCCATCAATTGGAGCATTTATGGCTAAAATATGCTAAAATGCAGAGAAAAATATATTACAAATGATTCAAATGATGTATTCACCTGCCCAACCAAGGTTTCCCCAGTGTCCTTCTTTGCAGGACCTTCCACAGCCAACACAACCGCAGCCGGTATGCTTGGCCTTTCTGACACTGATGGATCACACCATACTCCAGCATGGTCAAAGCACTCACCTGCAGTGGCACCATCCCATTGTACTCACGTTTTTTTCTGGGGGTTCTCATAACGGGTCTACCAGTACTCCCTAAAAACCTGGCTACTTTCGGATAGTAACGTATCCCTGTTGCAATCTACCAATAGCTACTTGCATGGACATGTCACAAGGAAAACTTGGGCTGATTCAACTGGTTATACCCTCCAAAACTCAAACACGTCATGAGCCTCTTAACCACGAGGATTGTCCACTCTCATGTTCGACTACATGAGTGCATATGATGGGATTGGAACTACCACCAACGGAAACTTAACAACACATGTGCTATATCTGGTATGCAACTCGCAGGGTATCCGTGGGGTTTCTTAAAAAGCGGGACGCATCCCCATTTTTTCCCATGGATATACTGACATATAGTAGTAGACACCTTGTAGGAAACTTATGGAAACTTGGGTGTCCTGGGATACACGAATACAACCACCACCCCAAAGAAGAAGTGAAAATAAATAGACAACTGACATACAGCACCACATGATGGGTTTACTGCACCGTAACCGTCGTAACCAACAGCTTTTGACTTCCCCCCCCACAAACATACCACTTAACCAGTGCCGCGATGGATCCCCTGGCACCATGTATACGTCATATTATTATTATTATTGATTATTTATGATTGTTATTGTTTGTTTTTGTTTTTTCTTTATGGTCGGTGTTGTACTGTTGTTACCCCCTGGTTATGACTAACATAGCCATGGAAAATGGCCCATAGAAATAGATTGTTTTCCCAGCTCAAAACCTCCATTTATAAGGGTTTTCCATGGCTATGTTAGTCATAACCATATGGTAATTCCCACTAATTCCCATAAAATCCCATTGAATTCCCATTGGCATTTTCCCATTGTTGTTGTACTGTTGTTATTGCTGTTATTGTTGTTTTTTCTTGTGATTGGCATTGTTTTTTTGCGCATGGCTGTGACAACAGTACAACAACAATCATACAATAACCACACTTAAATATAGAATAACAAACAAACAACAAGTAACAAGGAAAACCAATGCTATGATATCACTATAATAAATAGCAAGCTCATGAATAATATGACTTTATGACTAATGAGAATCACTAACATAATGTATGTACATATATATATACACGTATATATATATATACACATTGATTGTACTATAAAATATAACATATACTATATTATTTCTTATAATTATTACTAAGAATTATGATAATATATGCTGCAAATATTCACAATGTCATATATATATATAATATCATCTAATATCACTACTGATTGGTGGTTTCAACCCCTCTGAAAAATATTAGCCAGTTGGGATGATTGTTCCCAATATATGGAACAATGTTCCAAACCACCAATCAGACTATAATGGTCATCAGTAATAATATCACTAACAATGCCACACCTATCCCGGGTGAAAAGACGTCGTCCCCATACCCTGAGGCAAAGACTGGGCCCTGAGTGTAGCACAACTGCATGGCCACCTGGCGTTGCGACAACGGGTTTATAGAAGATATGGTGGTTTCCATAAATGGTGGTACCCCAAACTGGATGGTTTATAATGGAAAATCCTATTAAAATTGATGATTTAGAGGTACCACCATTTTAGGAAGCCTGCATATAGCGAACTAGTTGCTGGGGTCAAACTAAACCAACAAACACAACTAGTTAATGGGCGAACTTGCTAAGTTGGTGCACATATTTCCAATGACTGTTGGGTTTATGGGGACTATAACCATAGTTAATGGGGGTATAAACCAACTTTTTACTAGGGGGGCATCTTGTATGAAACATACATGTAGCAAGTTTAGCAGATTCAAATATGTTGTTGCCGGGTCATTTTGAAGCAAATGAGCTGCACATGATATACTGTTGGATACTATCCAATTAATTGTAGTCTGTCCTACTGAGGCTTTAGGGATGATCACTATGACAGCACTATGGGTTTCTGATGGTTTCTGACCCATACCAATATATCCAATATGCTGCAGAAAGAAAGGCAAATCTGCTGATTCCAAGCCTCACTTTCCCCATTCTTCGAACCATTACAGTAATTTGGGGTTCACCCCAGTTTCAGACATGCCAAGATCACATCAGTTGTTGGTTATATCCCATTTGAAGCCCCATGATAAACCTGTTTTTAACGTACCCCCAATTAAACTTGGTGTTTCTTAAGTAAATCCCATCAACCCACATAATTTCCCATGGAAATCCCACTAGACCCCCATAAATTCCCATTAGAAACCCCATGGAACCCACCTTTTTTGGGGTCCTAGACCCACCTGGCCGCATCTGCCAAGGGGCCGTGTGCCCCACCAGGTCACCGAAGCATTCGGGTGGGCCCCACAGGGGTAGGATGAAGCTACTGGACGCGGCGGCCTCGCAGACTCTGATTTCATGAGGAAAAGAAAGTATATGCTACACATTGACTTGGATAATAGATATGATAGCCGTTAAATTCATGCATTACTAGTTTTTTGAACTCACAATTTCTTCGTGAAATTCAATTGCTCTGGTGGTATACCTACCCCTCTCCTCTGAAAATATGAAAGTCAGTTGGGATGATGACATTCCCAACTGAATGGAAAAAAACATGTTCCAAACCACCAACCAGCATGTGTATATGTATTAGGTATACATTGTTCTGGAGGTATTAGGTATACATGATTCATGAACCTTGATATTTCCATATGTCTATCATATACATAAATATATATATAATATGATTATATATGTATACCATTAAATTGAAAGTTAGATTGAAAATCATGTGTGCACATATATATATATATCCAAAAACTATGATTGTATTGATGGCAACATAACTAGGATTAAACTTCACAGACAAAAAACATCTGCAATTGCTGTATGGGCTGATTTGCACATACGCACACAATTACTGTATATTCTAGATTACACAAGATAATCACTTGAGATGTTCTGTAGCTACATTATTTTGTGTCGATTGCGTAAAGACTTGTGTTGCATTTACATACACATTAAGAAATGAAAAATAACTGTGTGTAATGGTCCATCACGTAAGAATTTTGGGCAGCATCTTTGACTTGAATTTTCGGTGCAAGGTCACTTTCAGATCTTCGAGACTTCAACTGATCAGTCAACTTTCGTGGACAGGATACAATACAGATTCTGCCATTTGGCAATGGATCAAAACCAGTAGGCAAATGGATGTCCACCCCTCAGTTTGAGGAATCACAGGTATTGAGGCCGCAACAATGCGATAGTCCTGCAGCGCATCAGTCGATGCGGTTTTTATTGCCAGGTCTGCAGGTCATGAAAAACACCTACAACTGGTATCAATCATGGAGATTCAGCCAAGATACCCTCTGGTAAACTAACATGGCCATGGAAAACCACCATTTTTAATGGGAAAACTCACTATAAATGGCCATTTTCAATAGCTATATTGTTAAATTACCAGAGGGTATCTTCATTCTGCCTAAACAAGAGTAGGCAAGTCTAGTGGAAGACCCAAGAAAAGATCCGCACACAGAAACCGCCTACCAAATTTGGCTCCAAGTGGCCAAATTGGCAGTGGGTTCAAAGTTAGGCCCCTATGAAACCACACATGTAACGTTCATATGTTTAATATATTTACTACTTCACAATGACATTGGGTATGCCTGATTTTCACCAAGATTTACTCTGATTTTGGTGATGCAATCCCTGACGATTGCATTGCCTCCGCATTGAATGGCTGTGAATTTCCCATGTTGTCTTCATTAAATTCATGTATATAGTTTTTTGAATCCACAGTTTCTTCGTGAAATTCAATTGTGTCATTGGGTGATGGTTCGTTGAATCTCTAGTTTGTTGCTACTGAAAGCTCCGCTCTTTGGCAGTCATCCCACATGAAACAAGTTCACCCTGAAGGGCGCGGCGGGTCCGCAGCGAGCACCAAGCCCCATGCAGGGCCAGCGATCTTGCCACAACATGCCACAACCTGGGTGCGTTTAGCACCAGTGAGTCATGTAAGAAAAATCATCTGTTGATTAAATGCCATTCAATCATATTCAATCATATTCAATCACGATTTCAGGGATTGCCGGGGTAAATCCCATAAAATATTCCGCATTCAAACTTTTATTTTCCTGGAGCCACTACCCAGATCGTCCGAGCCACTGTAGAACTTTGTTTTGGATCGTTTAGTGTTCTGGCTGCAAGATATACATACATATGGGGGTTTCCATAAATGGGGGGTACCCCAATAGCTGGATGGTTTATAATGGAAAATCCTATAACAATTGGATGATTTAGGGGTACCCTTATTTTAGGAAAACACCGTATAA